ATTGCCTTTACCTTCATTGTCTTAAACTATATTCTATCTAGAATACCCACTAATAATAGATAATCTTTCCCACAGCTCTACATCATATAAATAAAACTTATTCCTCACGTCATTCACCATAAAAAGAGAATTCATGACTTCTCAATCCAATGATCACTGTTCATAAATAGTCAACACATCATCATCATCAAAAGGTGGAAGCCTTTTGGATAAAAAAGGATAGAAAAGCAGCAATGCAAGTATCAACCACATCACAGTTTTTCATGTAACATATATACTTGGTTTCTTTATTACTAATTGAAGAATTGAGGAAACTTCTCTTTTAAAACAAGGATAACTTATCAAACAAATCTATTTGGACTGTGTGACACAAGCATTGACATTTATCCTTTAAAACAGAATTCAAACTTCAATAAATGAGAAAGGTTAAAGGGAAAAGTATTATAATTTAAAATGTGAAGAGCAATCTGTACTCAGGAGCCATCAGAAGGTTTCCTAATGGACATCAATAAATGCACACTCAAAATACTACTTGCAAGAAACTTACAATATTATCATTAAACTTCAGATGCTTTTTGAATTTAAATTTCAAATTTTTCAGCATTTGTTTATTGTTATAGAGCCTCACCCAACCATGTAAGAAACTGAATTCAAAACCAAAATTCCTCCTGTTGATTAGAGTGTGTTTATCTGTCTGAAATAAAAAGCCCAATTACACCACATCACAGTAATTATGCTCTCCCCAAGCTCAGATTTTTATGACAGAACACACAACAAAATCCAGTGAGATGTAAGAAAACAGCATAAACAAATCTACCTTTTTTATAGACAAAAAGTTTTTCTATTAAATCTGCCTAAACGAGAAAGAAGAATAAAGCATAATAAAGCATAAAAACAAGCATAAAGTACCTGAGCACACCATAATTCAAAACCAAAAAGACAGAAGATGTTTTGGGAAATATACTCTTTCTTCTTCAGTGATGAACTGTTGAACATTGCTAACAGGATTCTGGGCTGCAGCCAAAGTGTGGCCAGCAGGTTGAGGGAGGGGATTCTGCCCCTCTTCTCTGCTGTGGCGAGACCCCAGCTGGAGAGCTGTGTTCAGCTCTGGGGACACCAGCATGACAAAAACATGGGGCTGTTGGGCTAGTGCAGAAGAGGGACACAAAGATAATTAGAGGGCTAGAAGACCTCTCCTACCTAGACAGGCTGGAGAAGAAAGCGCTCCGGGGAGAACTTAAAGTACCTTCCAGTACCTAAAGAGAGCTGGAGAGAGACATTTCACAGAGATAACGGGGAATGGGTTCAAAATGAAATAAAGTAGTTTTAGATTAGATATTAGGAAGAAATTCTTTACTCTGAATGTGGTGAGGAACAAGTTCCCTAGAGAAGTTGTGGATGCCCTGTCACAGCAAGTGTTCAAGGCCAAGGTTGCATGGGGCTCTGAGCATCCTGGTCTACAGAAGGTACATGGCAGGAGGGCTGGAACCAAATGATCTTTAAGGCCCCTTCCCACACAAACCATTCTGTGATTTCTGTGATTCTATGAACCCTGAGGAGAAGTAAAAAGAACAGCAGCTTCTTGCTGTTTCAGCTTCTTGCTGAAACACAATAATATGTTCAGTATTACTTATTCAGGTAATGAGTACTGGAGATGTCAAAAACCCCAGCAGTGCAGGCATTGAAAGCCTATTGATTTTTTTATCATAAATGAAATATCATAGAACACCAACAGAACAGAATGAATGTATTTGGAAACCTTTCAATTTTATGTTTTTTCATGTAGGAACATGCTTATTGGTGTTCCTTTTATAGATTTTGGCTGCAAAAACATCTATGAATTTTAGTTCTCCCATCTAACAGAGAAAAATGTTTTGGGTGTTTCTGGGTTGTTTTTTTTCTTTAAACATGTTATAAATATAAAAGTCTGCTTGTGGTTTTCGAGATTGTTTCTAGGCTGATGCATGAATTGGTAAAAGACTGTCAAAACATATACAACTTCTTTAGCAGAGTTGTGAAAGCCTGAATGAACTGTAGGCTGTATCAGAAAATAATGGAGTAGGATTTTTCTTCTACAGGAATATCTTACCATAAGAAGTAACAGAATTATTTGAAGGACATGGGACGAATGCACCATCAGCCCCAAAAAACCCCACAATGAACGCATTCCCTAAAAAACCCATAAAAACAAAAACTCAGAAACTGTATGGACTGCAGCAAATTTTTTTTTAAAGTGGGACCAAAGATATTTGAAAAATGCAATTTTCAGACACCAACTTTCAGTATTTAACAGCAGCAGAAGTAAACAGGAGACTATCATAATTGCAAACCAGCTGTTTCTAAAGCCAGAAAAAGACCTTTAGCTTGGTTAAATACAATCAACAAAATCCAAATTTTCTGTACGTGCTGTTCTTTGCAACAAAGAAAATACTTAATGAAGCAAAAGAAATGTGACAAAGATAATAGTTTATAAGAATTTTATTTGTGTTCAGAAATAATTTTTCTCAATTATAAGCAGGTGAAATGCTGACACTGGAAAACCTATGCACAACTCAGTTCTTATCTCACCATTACAGGATCAGTGATGTCAACCAAACACTGCTTAACCTTCTTCTTGATGATCCATATTTCTTGCAGAAGTATATCGAAGGGCAGTATGTCTGCTAGCTCCTGTCTGCTCCTTTCATATAAATGCCAGCAGCAATATCCCCCAGCACCCTTTAAGAACAAGCAGGGAATTTATCATATCTGGTTGTAATGCCCTTTGGGACTCTTCAGGAAGAAAGGCACTGTAAATGTAAGCTCATTATCATCATTAACTCCTTTTATACACCAGCTGAGCTCAGAAGCCACAAATGAGAGAAAATGTAAGGGAAAAAAGGTTAAATACATTTGCCATTCTCTTCTTTTCCTGATAGGTTTTAGCACTTCCTAGTTAGTTTTTAACACTCATAGATACCTTTATTAGATTAAACTTACTATTTATTAGGAATTCTTAAAATTACTTTGGTCATTTTTTTCCAGGAGATTTTATTTACATTGCTAAGGAAGAAGAAAATGGCTTGACTTGTATTTAGGGATATGCAACACAGCAGTACCTAACTGGTTACACACTCCTGTAAGCTCAGAAACACCTTATGATTTCCACAGTTACACCTCACCTACATGTGTGAGAATGGCTTGAGAAAAGGAAGAACTCTGTTTGTCTTATTTGTGTTTTCTGGGTGACTGTCACAGACATTTTTCATAGGAAAAATAGCACAACACCTTCTCAAACTGCTCTATGGGAAAAATGTTAAACTTTTAAACTACTTGGGCATACTTTACACAAAAGCTCTACAAAATGGCAACTTGCAAGGGCGATGGAGAATCCTTAAGGGTACTTATAATTTTACAGTTACTGCATCCAAATTCAGCAAGCTGTCGATTTTTATTTCATTCACCTGAATGAAATAAAAATCAGAGAAACAAGAAGAAAGAACCATGAAGTTTATCTGACTGTACAAATGCAAGAAAGAAAACCATACACAAATGTCCATAGCAGGAAAAAAATTTGTGGAGACGCTTCTGATGCTATTCCAGTGCGGGATGCTGTGTGAACACCATCTCCTTCGCCCAGCCTGCTGCTCCGTTTTGCGCTCTCCCAGGGGAAACACGCGCCCCTTTCTCCCGTCCGTGGCCTCTGCCCATGCAGCGAGGTGCCCTCGCTGCTCCTGTGCCGTCCCGGTGCCGACAGCTTCCCGCACCGCCTCCCAGCCACCCCCGCTCCCACCGGGCGAGACTCCCGGTACCAGAGCAGGGCGCTTGGCTCGCCTGTCGCTCCGCTCGGTCCCGCTGGCACCCGCGGCCCGGGGAGGGCAGCCACACGCTGAGACCGGGGCGCGCCGGTGAGCTGCGGACGGCCGGCGGCGGGGATGCATCCCGGCCAGGAGAGCTCGGGGGCCGGCGGGGAGCGGCATGCCCAGCTCTCAGCCCGGCCCGGCCCGGCCCCACACCCGCCCTCAGCCCGGCCCGGCCCCACACCCGCCCTCAGCCCGGCTGCCCCGGCGGGCGGTGCCTCGGCCCCGCGGCGCCGCCGGGCGGCGCTTGCGCACTGCGGCCGCCGCGGCTCGCCCGCCTCTCCGGCGCGCCCCGAGAGCCGCGGCGGAGCCGCTCCGAGCCCGGCGAGCCGCACTGGGCAGAGCGGGGCCAGAGCCGCGGGGAGCCAGCAGCAGGAGCGGAGCCGGCCGTACAGCAGCCCCTACCTGCGCGGGAGCCGTGGCTGCCGCCCCGCTTCACCTGGTGCCCGCACGACTCGGGAGACGAGAGCAGCCCCGAGGGGTCCGTCCCGGGGCTTGCCCGCCCGGCGCCGGCAGCATCTTTGGTGCCCTGGCCGTGCTCGCCGTCCCCTGCCCGCGTGCGATCGTTTGGGGGTGCAATGATCGATCCCGGCAAGAGTTTTGCAAAGCTCTGAAACACCTTAAGCTGCGCGCAACAGCCTGTGTTCTCCGAGGTGCTGGAGATGAGGAGATGATGTTAGTGTTCGCGACGGCCCGGCGAGGGGAGGTGTCTTCCTAAAGGGACCTTTCCTGACCCGTAGAGCCGCTGGGTGCCCGCGGCGACCAGAGGACGCAAATGGGCAGCACGAGACCGGTGCGGCTGCTGGCGAGGAGGCAGCGGTCCCGGGAAAGGGCGGAGCGCCGAGGGGGGGTTCTCCCGGCGCTGCACTTGCTACATTAACTCTGCGCGTCGGAGACGGCGACACAACTTTCCGGGTCTGCCCCGGGCGTCGGTGACAAGAGGCTCCTCGCCGCTCCGCTCGTCGCGCCCCCAGCGCCGGCCGCTGCCCGCGGCGGACCCGGCGGCAACGGGAGCAGCGCTCCTGCGGCAGCGGCGTCGTGGCTGCTCCTGACCGGGCTATTCCCGGGAGCCGGGTGGGCATGTCTCCCGCTCCCAGCCCCGCCGAGCGAGGCGGCCGCCGGGTCTGAAGGAGAGCGGGTGAGCCCCGCCGCCTCCCGGCCATGCGGCCCCTCGGCGCTCCGCTCGCCCTGCTCTGCCAGGTGCTGGGTGCGTGGGCTGCCTGCGCCCTGGCCCCGGACCCCGTCGCAGCCTCTGGGCCGCCGGCGCCCCCGCAGCGCGCCCGCTCGCCGCCGGCCCCGCCGCCCCTCGCCCCCGGCCGGCGGGCGGCCGCGACGCTGCCCGGGCGCGGAGCCCTCCCTCCCGGCGGAGCGGCGGGGCCGGGCGGCAGCTGCGCGCCACGCGGGGCCCCGGGCACCGGGCGACGGCGGGCGCGGAGCAGCGAACCCGGGGCCGGGGCGGCGGCGGGGAGGGGCGGGGCGGGCGGGCCCCGCTGGCTGCCCCTGAACGGCTCGGCCGGCGGCGAGGGCAGCGCCGGGGGCCGCGGGAACGCCACGGGGCGCCGCGCCCGGCTCCGCAACCCCTTCTACCCGCTGACCGAGGAGTCGTACGGCGCCTACGCCGTCATGTGCCTCTCCGTGGTGATCTTCGGCATCGGCATCATGGGCAACATGGCAGTGATGTGCATCGTCTGCCACAACTACTACATGCGGAGCATCTCCAACTCCTTGCTGGCCAACCTGGCCTTCTGGGATTTCCTCATCGTCTTTTTCTGCCTGCCGCTGGTTATCTTCCAGGAGCTCACCAAGAAGTGGCTTCTAGAAGACTTCTCTTGCAAAATCGTCCCGTACATTGAGGTAACGTCCGTGGGTGGGGATACGCGGACCCCGAGCTCCTCTCCCCGCCGCAAGCCTGAGCCGTGTGCGGGGCCGGCGCTGCTCGCTGTCATCGCTGCCGGCCCGGGGGCGTCCCGGAGAGCTTTGGTCCGGGTTTCCTGAGTGCTCTTGCGACGGAGCGGAGCCCGTCCCGGCCCCGCAGGGAGCGCAGTCGGCAGTGGCCGCACCGGGTCCAGCGGCACCGGGATTTCTGCGGCTCCCGCTGAGTGCGTCCGGCGCTTCCTGCCACTCGCGCGACTTCTGCCAAACTTTCCTTGTTCCCTGTGACCCTGAGAAACAAGTGATCCTCTCAGAATTAGATTTCAAGCTTTTCACTTTGTTTATTTCAGTAAAGTGAAGATGGGTCAGGAAAGCGGATGAAGGGCTTGAGGGGATCGCTTGTAAGGAGGTGATTGTAAAAATGGGATCATCCCATCAATGGAATGTCTGGACTCTTAACTTATATTTCAGCGTTCAAATCTCACGTTTATTTAGCTGCAGGTTTGTTGGGGTTTGTTTTTGTTTTTTTGAAAGACACCAGCTCCGTTTAAACTGCAGCTTCTTGGCAGCTGTTCAGCGGCTCTGTCAAAGAAGCTCTCAGACAGCTGGCCACAGTCCTGCCGGCAGTGCTCAGGTTGTCTGCTTTATTTATTTACTGGAACTGAACACTGAGGCTTGCTGCTACGGCGGTAGCCTGGAGTTCTGGCTGGCTCTCCTGTATTCCCGAAACCTTATGTCCAACATTATTCTGTAACTGAGAGCAGAGGAAACAACTGGTGGTTCTCTCGTCCTAAGAATGAGCTATTAGGAAAAAAACCCCAAACAAACAAAAAAGCAACCCCCTATGCCCCTCCCAGAAAACCCTCAAATACCCAACTTGTTATTAATATAAAGTGTCAGTTTCAGCAGCACATTAGTACACAGTAACACAGAATTAACTGTCAAATGATACTACGATATTTTGAAGTGTTAAGAAAAATGTGTGACCTGTGTAGCCATAAAATTGCTGCTGCTTCTTTCATCTGTTTAGTTTATTACTGGTGGTATTGGACAAAGGGTGGAGCTGTGTTACGCTTAGTTGAATTCTAGGCCAGTACTATACCACCTGCATTTAAAAAAAGAAGACATGATGCAGTAAATATGTATTTATGGAGAAACTTAGTGCTTGAATCCTTTAAAATTCCTGAAATGGATTCTGGGGCTGCTGTGTTAACCTGTAAAAGTAAGTAGCAGTGTTTTAAGAGTAACCATTTCATTTAAAATAAATAGTGTAGTTTGTGTTTCAAGGACTTTCATGTGACATTTCAGTAAGTAACCAGTAAGTAAGTTGCAGTATTTTAAAAGTAACCATTTCATTTAAAATAGATACTGTAGTTTGTGTCTCAAGGACTTCCATGTGACATTTCATGCTTCCTAACCCTTTTTTGGTGCATCCACACACAAAGTTGAAATAGATCAGTAGTTTAGATGATTTGTGTGGCCACACTGTTCCTCAAAATTAGTTGCTTATGCTTTGCAGCTTTGGGCACTAAAGAGTTTTTCAAACTGAAAATAGCTTAGCTGAAATGTAGTTGCTGAAATTCAAAACTGTAATCCTGAAAAATATTCAGCTGCTGCTATATGCAATATAATTTAATGTTACCTTGTTTTTTCACTTTAAAGTTCTGTGGATGTCTAGAGCTCCTCTCATTCAAGAGTCCAGTCAGGTGAACTGGTGGCTGTGTTAGGCCTAATTATCACTGGTGTCTAAAAGTAAAGCATTTTCCTTGTCCTTGAGGAAGTATAATGACTTAGTTCTAAAGTTAAGTTCTTAAGAACTTTAGTTCTTATAAAGAGGTCTAGCCTTAGGGTTCTGTGTTGCTCCCAGAATTGTGTAGTTTTTGTTCAGTGTCATTAAATATAATACCCATGTATGTAAATTATCTCATCACCTTGAGAGGAGTAAGTAAAAGGCTGGATTTCCCTCTCTGTAAACTGTGGCAATGAGTGGCAGATACTGAACACTGGTGGATCGTGACTCCACAGTTCACCTGGAGCCTGGAATGAAGGACACTGTCCTATAAATCAGGATTTGACCCTGCTGAGGCAGAGAAGGCAGCTAGAGCAAAAGTTCACCACTTTCCAAGTGTTGATCTAACCTCAGAGGCATTACACAGTGACACTGACACCACCAGGAGCAATGCAGATGTGTAGCATGTCATGAAATCCATCCCATGTGCAGCTGCTGCTCCTTGCTCTGTCAAGGGTTGTTTACAGCAGTACATTCATCTGACAGCTGAACAACACTCTCTTTTCCTTTGTAACTCACCTGGGCAGGCCCTTCTTCTTCTCACACAGAGGGAAAGGGTGAAGTCTTCTTATCTCCTTGAGAGGAAAGCTTTGACAGATATCTTCAGGAGAAGTGTCCAGAACTTTGTGGAACACAAATATGGAATCATCTTCCTGAAGATGGACACATTTTAACCTCCTGTCTGTATTTTCTATAAGTTTGCACAGTGTTTAGTTCTTTTAAGGGTCTCTTGATTCCATCTTTTCATCTCTTTGTTTTTAGGGGTTTTTTGCATATGCTGTTTAGAGAGAGAGCTATGTGTCTCACCTGGGTTTGTAGATCCAGAAATACCTCAAGCATCAAAACCCCTTATTGGCCTGAGTCTTCTGTCATACCAGCTTCTACTCTTAGAACTAGAGAACAGGGGATGGCTGATTATCCACAGCAAGTGATGCAGTGATCACAGCATTTTAACATAATTCAAGCATGCTTTGTGCTGTTTGAAGGTTTCAAGTGATCCCAGGGAAATACCTTGAGTTTTCTTAGTTTAGCCTCTTGTGACCAATTGGTTTTTATTTGTGCTGTTTTATGGATATTGTGTAGAATTCCAACAAAGCATCTGCTGCTAGTGATAACACATATGCCCACTCAGTCTGGGAAAAATGCTTTATGATATCTTCCTGCACATTTGTATAGGTAAAGGCTGAGCTTCCAGCAGTGGAATGTCTTCACAAATTTAATTTAAAGGGCAGTTTTCCCATAGCTAATAAAGATCTTCTATGACAAGTACATTAAGTAGTAATTTCAGCTATATATTGTATAACAGTATGGCCACTTGTAACTACTAGTTTTGAGTGTACTGAAAAGGAGTTGAGAAGAGAATTTGAACAACTAATGTAGCTACTCTGCCTGTAAGGATGTATGGAGATGTGCTTCTCCTTTGCTCTTTTAATATTCTGCCATTTTTCTGCATGGCTCAGAAGTCTAGATTTTGGCATACATGTCTGAAGTGTTTACCTGCACACTGTTTTGTCTTTCACATGCTTTTGTCAGTATTACTCAGAATCAGGAGACGTGAGGTAAATGACAATAGAAAGACAATGAATTTGGGTAATTCCTGCTGATGTGGAATCCTTTTGGTTTTGTTCAAGGCACTCAGTCTTTTGAACTTTTGAATATAGCTCCAGTTTCCCTACTTACAGATTTATTCTAGGCCTTACTAGAAAGAAATACAAATGTAGACAAAATCTGTACTGTTGTTGTGCTTTTAAATATTTTACAACTGTAGGTCATGTGAAATTGAGTTTTTTTCTTTATTTCATTTTAATGCTGAAGGCCAGTAGTGATGAGATTAAATAAGTTGTTTAAGGCCCAGAGCAACTTGCACAAGATGACAAATGGATTCTGTCAGGTAGGACTGGAAACCTTCTTTCAGGCTTAAGAAGGAACTTTGCTTGAGTTGTGTGCATTTTGCTCTTGGAGGTTACACGAGAAGCTTTGTTTGAGGGGGTTGTGTTCTATGTCAACAGATTGAATCAAGCTACTTCTAGCCAAGCAGGGGTTTAGAACTGAGAATGGTCTAGCATGAAGGTTTGCAGAGGCTGATTTACCATCCTATGCAGTCCAGCACAGAGCAAGAAGTTGCTGAGGCCAGTGTATGGTACACAGCCCTGAATTCAGTGCTAGTGAATATGAGGACCTCTGCCTTTCCCAGACACCTCACAAAGAACAGGACAAAATTTGTGGTGTCCTCATCTGGACCATAACATGCATACAAGACTGGTGTGATTCTGTAGCAGGCTGGCAGTAAAAGCTTTTGAAATCTGATGCCCAAACTCTGCATGTGCTTTTGGCAATGAATTTGTCGCATCACTCCTGTTTCTTGTAGGCAAGTTCCAGCTCAGGAAAGCTATCACAATTAGTATTCTTAGTGGAAAGCATAAAGATTGATTTGGACTGAAATACGAATTACTCTCTTTTCCTGGAGCTGATCCTCCAGGGCAATTTGAGGTGAGGCTTTTTCCCATTTCTCTTTACTTGACAGAGGTAAGCAAGAAGCACAGAGAAAGCTGCTGTTCTCTACCTGTTCCAAAGCTGTGAGAAGAGATCCCTATTTTAAGTTTCACTTTAGGGAAGCAAGCAAATACATTTTTAATGGGAGTTTATAAAAGCTGTGTATTATCTGTCTTTTCTGTGACTTTTGATGTGCGGCATTTTCTTTATGTCTCTTCTTTGACTCCAGTCAGAGCTGTGCTCCTGAACCTCCAGTGAGTCCTCTGGGTCACTGACAAAGACACTCAGAGATGTTTGCAGTTTCAAGGCTTCATCATGAGAGTTTTCTAGGGCAATGGCTTGATCTATCTTTAACTGAGCAGAATATCTTCAGTGCTTATCACACAATAATTATTTAAAACTGAAGTGTTAATATATCTCTGCCCTTTAGGTATTAATGCCATGATGATGATAGCTGCCATGTTGGTTGTTCTGTCAGTCATTCTTTCCTCTGCAAATCCTGTCCTTAGGATCCTCTAAGTTTTTGCTTTTGGCTAAACTTTGCCTGTGGTATTTCAGCATGGAAATGAATTTGTGTCAGAGTAGGTTTAAAATTGGGTCAGTAATATTTAAGTTACATATGTGTGGAGACAAAAAGGCAGCATCTGCGATGCCAGCCCTATTGACTCTGCTCTGAACACTAGCATGTAATTTCTCTATA